AGGAGGGAAGAAAGACAGAGGGGGTGTGGAGAGGGGGGTGTGGAGAGGAGGAGGAGGAGGGAGAGGAGGAGGGGTATTATGGTAGAGAGGGATAGAAGAAGGGAGGAAGGGACTGGGTATGCGGGGGTCTGAAGAGGAGGAGGAGGGGGCTATGGAGAAGGGGAGGGGTGTTAAGGTAGGAGGGAAGAGGGAGTGCGGAAAAGGGGGGGGGGCTCTGGGGTGGAGGAGGAAGGAGTATTATAAAGGAGAAGAAAAGGAAGGAGAAGGGGGAGGAATGTTATACGAACATCTCAACTTTTATTCAACATAGATTGATAGTTCTTCACTAAAAGCAAGGCTGATGAACAGGCTATAAGATGATACCAATAACCCGATATGCCCCAAAAGTGACGAACGCCTGATTCCACCACATCGTAACTAATTAATTGATGAAGATGGTTGCAGGACGGTAAACGACTTCAAAATTGAAAGCAGGGCTTTTTTCCTTCATTTTATCACGCCTTCACTGTTAATATAACGAGGAAGAGAGTGGGGGAAGAGGGAGAGAGAGAGAGAGAGAGAGAGAGAGAGAGAGAGAGAGAGAGAGAATAAAAGAAAAGAAGATAAAAACTGAAAGAAAAAAAAGACTTTATTAGACCAAGGCGTCAGCGGCAATGGTTTCTAACAGAGACGTGTTTACAACTTCACACAAATATAAATAACAAAATAAATAAATAGATAAGTAACAAAAGTAAACAAATAAATAGATAAATAACAGAAATAAACAGATAGATAAATAATACGAACAAGATGTCCGTGACATCGCCCCAAACACACGCTACACGGCGCCTCGGATATTCCGCCAAAGATATATCTGAATGTCACAGTCTCTCTCTGATCTTTTTGCAAGATCAAATAAAACTTGTTTGACTCTCTCAACGAATGTTTTTCCGCATTCCGAGTTGCGCCCCGTTCTGTGAGTGACGCTGTTGGTATGCTGTGCTCCGTCAACTCCCACGATGAGATGAAAATATTTATTATGTGACAGCGCCGATCACAGTCAGATGTACGTCGCACTAGGCTAGTCCGAGCTACGAGGCCTTAAAGGGAAAAACTCGACCTCCAGTTTTGGTATTTTTGCATTTTCCCTTGATCGAAAGCCTAATGTTTTTTAATTTATAATAGATGAAAATAAAATATAGATCTTTTTTAAAAATTA